CTTTCGAGCTGGCCGGGGCGGGAACTTGTGGGCGAGGAAGTACTTGCATGGCTCGGGGTATGGGGTTTGGTTGCACCACGAGGCGATGTCGGGCGTGGGTTTCGGGCTAGCTAGGGGGAGGAGAGAGGAGAGAGAAAGGAGGGTGAGGGCTAGGAGTTTGAGCTCCATATTTGCTAGAGTGTTTGGTATGCTTGAATGAATGAATGTGATTTTGATTAGTGTGAGGAAGTGTGGGATATGATTATATATAGAGAGATGGAGAGTTGATAAAAGGGGGTGTGACAGGTTGTGTTAAGGGAGATGTTGAGAAGGACATAGTTGACTTTTGAATACAAAAGGCCAATTCAGCCAAGCTTGGCGAGTACATATGGATTATTATTGAAATGGATTAGTTGAGATCAAAAAATACGCTAGCTAGCGACATAATTTTGAAAAAGTCATGGTTCGTGTAATGATAATGTGTTAGATGTGATGTTTTAGTTTTCTACATATGTATTTCCAAGTCAGAAAAAGGATGAAAACAAATCAAGTGAGATATATATATATATTGTGGGCATTGCTCATGAACGTAACACGCGCGCTAATGAAATAAGTAAATGCAGAGTATGGTTTTGTGGGGGGAATTGAGTTAGATTTGACTAGAATTTTAAATTTGTATTAAAATTATATTTAAAATATGATAATTAAAATTGATTTGATGTAAAAAAAAGAAAGAAAGAAATGACGTGAAGTAGTGATGAATGATTAAAATTGTGTAATTAAATGAATAATGAATTGAAATTGATAATGTGAAGATGATGAATTCATGAATTGATATTATTTTATTATTCTAATAATGGTAAGGAAAGTTATGTTTTATTAAGTTTGAATTATATTTTAAATTAAAATAACTATCTCTGTCATTAATTGTATCCAATCACGGCCTGAGTAAATCCTCTTCATTTTGAGATCACTTCGTCTAATAAGATCTGGATTTTATGAAAAAGTTGACAAAACTGTATATTTATTTATGTTATACATTCGATATATAAGAGGTGAATTAAACACTGTGAAATATTTTTTTAAATATAAATGGAAACTTATATTTTAAACACCATACTTTTTTCTTATTTTGTTTTTTTAAAATATAATATTCTAATATATATATATATATATATAATATTTAATAAAAATATTATTTTCAAATTTTAATGTCGTATTACTCAGTTGTCCATGTTTTTGTTACAACTTTTGCATGTCTTCCTCTGTTATAAAATCCAAAACAATAATTAATGTGCATTTACATACTTTTCCTCACAACTTTTAAAATAATCCCCAATTTTATTTTATTTTTATTTACACGTTTATATACTTTTCCTTACAAATCTAGTCACGGCTTTTACTCCGATGAAATAATCCCAAAAAATTTATGACTTTTACACGAGAAGAAAGCGGTTTATTTTGTTACTACAATAATAATCAACCTAATAAAGGTGCGTGAATCCTAGAAAAGACAAAAAGAAGTAATAGTGGATACGGCAATTTGATCACAGTCCATTCAAGGGCTAATTTTGCTAATTTTATATTAATACAAAAATATTATAGCACATGTAAAATTTGATTAGTTAGTAGTAACATTATTTTGGCCAAATTAACTTAAATTTATTTTATATTAAAGCAATGAATTATATATTTGAACATGATATAAGTTTTTTTTTTTTTTCCATTTTTTTAGATTATTATGTCTTTTTTATGTTATTTTTGTATTTATTTTTTATAATTTGATTATATAACTTTATTTAAATAATTTTATTTGAGACAATATTTTATTGTGTTATACTTTATTAGAATACTTAGTATGTAATTGAATTATAGATTTCACAATTAAGTTTATATCATCACTGAATTTTTAAATAAATGATAGTTTATTATATAAAATTTGCTAGCAAATCTCATTTATTTGTGTCACAAATTTAGTGAAATGACATATGTACTCTAAATGACATGTCATAACAAGAATGATGGGACTATTACACTGTTTTATAGTAGTTCTTTTAATAAATTATATAGTTTTCTAATTAAAATTTAAGTAAATGAGAAAATTTTTCTTTGTACATTTTTAAAGAAAAAATCATGAAACATATAAAAATAAATATTTGTTAGAGAGTAGTTAAAAATTCACAAAATTTTGTTAGAGGAGAGTCGTCTTAAATAAAACACGACTAGTTAGAAAGTAATAATAGTTTTTATTTTACAAATGCAACATTCACTTTTTAATAAATTATTTTCATATTTTGACTTCTTTATATATACATGTGTCAAGCTAGATTTTTCCAATCGAATATTTCAAGTTCAAACTCGTGCTCATTTAATAAACGAGTTGTCGTGACTGTTGTTTAGTAAACAAATAAAAATTTGAGCTTGAGTTCGACTCGTATAAACTATGTTCAACTCATTTAATAAACCATAAAACCTAGTCCAAAACACAAAACTCCAACCTAGTTATTCGCGAACACACTCAACACTACTTGTTTGATAGACAAACTCGATTAATTGTTCGAGTTTGACTCGTTTATATATACACAAGTAAAGTTAAGCTCTAACTTTTGCGAGTCGAATCAAACTATGTAAAAAGATATCTCGGTTCGAATAACAACTTCATATTTGCAGCTCTTATTGAATATTTGTTTTGGTTAATTTGATCCAAAAACATTATTAAAACAGTGCTGACTATTGTTACACATATCAATCGGTTACACATATCAATCGGTTAGACAATTATATTTTTTCTTTAACAATCATATAATAAATAATAACATTTCATAGTATAGCCTATAGGTATACTCATTTTTATTATAAAAAAAAAAAAAAAGTGACGGAACGATTTTGCCCCCATCAGACAATTGTACATGATTGTATAAAAATTAAAAACAATCTACACACGTAATAGAATTGCTTGATTGAAGGTTCATTAGTTATGGTGTGGCATGAAACATGCATGCACAAATTAGTACTCTAATCAACACAAATCATTAATCGTACCTACCCCATATTCTACATATAACATATATATTGATCTATATGCTAATCAATGATTAAATTTATTCATAGGAGAAAATCAACAAGTTATTACAACTGGAATTATTTTTGAATTTTTATTGATGCCTTGACTTTTATAAATTAAAATAAATTTAATTGGCGGCGAAACGCGTTCAAGTAAGCCACCATTTGTTGTAAAAGAAATGAGAAAAGACGTGCATATATCCAATCAAGAAATAGAAAACCAATCTAATTATTTAGTTGAGCTTTTATTTTTTTTTATTAAAAAAAGGAGAGTATATATTTCAGTTTCACATAATTGGACATATATTATTCTAATTTTTCTATTACAATTCATTTATTTAAACAATGTTGACTACAAAAAAAAATTCCAAGGTTTGCTAGAATTTTCAGTAACTATATACGAAATTTAGTACCTTTTTTTTTTTTTTTTTTCAGTAACTATATACGAAATTTAGTATCTTTTAGATTGCTACAACTTTCTTTGTGCAATAGCTAGCTAGATTTAGCAACGATATATATTTTTCATAGCAAATTTAATGTTGTGAATAAAAAGTCCCACATTGCTTGTGCACGAGATCATTCAACGGTGAATAAATTAGGCTCGTCTCTAACATTAATTGTAGGTGTAATTGTGAAACAAGAGATTTAAAAAGTGCTGTTTTATTATAGATTTTGTAATTTGTAACTACTTTGTAGCTAATTTGTAGCTAATTAAACACTTTATTTGTAAATTGTTACAAATTGTTATAGTATTGTGTAACTAATTTAGTACGTATGAATTAGTTACAAATTTTTATAGTATTGTATAATCTTCTACTATACAAACTGTAATAACTATAAGGGGGCGATTGTTTATAGTTTCAACAGTAAAAAAACCAATTAAAACTTTAATTTAACTCAACTTTAACCCAACCCCACTATCTCTCATATTATCAATATAATTAAATAATATCAACCAATCATTTTTACACATCACATCAACTTTAATTCACTATTCATCCACTCACATAATTTTAACTAACCATCACTTCCAATCATTTTTCTCCTACTCTACATCAAATCAACTTTATTTATTTTATTTAAATATTATTTTAATACATCCACTAACAACTAACCATACCACTTTTTTCAAAGTTAACTATAGTTAAAAAACAAACCAAATAAAAACTAGTTGAATCCATAAACAATCACACCCTAAGTAATTAATCATATTCATATCACACACAATATAATTTGTACATAATGAACAAATCAACAAAAGAATAACACCGCCGGTGGCTGACGATTGAGTACTAATAGTAATTCCAAACTCTCACAGCCCGGCAGTGAAAGGCACGCCTGTCTCCGGCAGCCACTCCTGGCCCGCAATAAGTCCCGCCACCGAGCACCGGGTTGCCTCCTCCGCGCTCATATTCCCACGGTAACCGGGCCAGCTAACCCGACCCCTCGTGTCCGCCCCCAGCCCGAAGTTCCTGTACTCCCAATAATACAAACTGGTCAGGGCAAAATCCGAGTCACCCCAAGCGGACCATCCCTCAGGCGCCACCACCTCATCGAGATAAGACTTCATGACCACAGTCCTTGAGTACTGTTGCCACGGCCGACCCAAATACGTCCTGAACGAGCCGGAGCCGGAGCCGGGCTTCAGGTCCGGGCCGGCCACGACCCGACACTGGTGGATGGATGTGCCCGTATTCTGGAATGGGTCACCCCGCCCCTGAGCGGTGACCATGTTGGCCTGGCCCGGGAGGGGCTGGCGGACGTAGATGACGCAGTTCTGGAGGACGGCGGCCGCATTGCCGAAGATGATGTCTATGGTGCCGTAGACGAGGCACGACTTGTAGAACTGGCGTTGTGATTGGATGTAAAGGGTGTCCTGGTAGCCCTCGAACGCACATGCATAGGAGACTGAGAGGTCCGAGCTGACCGGAGGGCTACCGCCTGGCCCTTGTCGGGACCCGCCGTGTTGCGAAACGTGATGCCGCGGGCCATGAACCCGGGGCCGTCTATTCCTGAGATTGGGAGAAGTTTAGTGAGTTTGTGTAGCAAAACATGGTATATATATATACGAGAAATGACTACAATTCTGTGACGGAATGGTTCAGTTGGTATGTTTTAACATAACTTTTCTATTTTACATAATCTACATGTATATCTGTAGACTAATAATAACGACGGAATCATTCCGTGGGACTATACTAATTCTCATATATTTGTTTGCCTGATGATATTTATGTTTGTGCAAAACACAGAGTTATTAGGGCTTACTCATGGTGGCGGAGCTATACAGAGCCGGTCCTGAACATTAATAGGCCCTGGGCAAAATACAAAAAGTAGTGCCCTAAGTACTTTGTTCTGATTAAGTGTAGCCATAGCAAAGAAAAAACAATATTATAAGATCTATAACATGTATCATGCACACTGATCATTTTAATCTTCGACGAGGTATTACATATGTTTTGAGAGGTATTATATTTGTTATGAGAGGTTTGAACAGTCTTGGACGAGGTATCATATTTGTTCTGATATGTTTGAACAATTAATAAGTAATGATCTCCTTGCTAATAAGGAGCAAACTTGAGATCATATCTAGACTACTCCTATCTGCTAAGAAGTTAATAAATATCCAAGTATAAAGAGACTGGAAAGTTTGAAAGAAAATCAATTGAGCTCCACACTTAAAGATAAAGTAATTAAACCTAATCATTCAGCAAGCCAAAACACAAAACCGAGCCCAACGCACTCAATGATTCGCACACAAGATCACACCATTTTAAGCAAAGGCAACCACACAATATATATATACCAAATGTTACCAGAACCCATTACAAACGTTTCACCAACTGTCAACTCTGACTCATCCATTTTCAAACATTTACCAATAGTTTCAAAACAAACTCACAGCCAGCCAAATAAACATGTAGAATTTAATATATGAATAAATTAATCCATATGAAATTTTTTGAAAAAATCAGTATTTGTATAAGTCCAAAAAAAAATAAAAAAAAAATAATAATAATAAATAAACAAAATTGAGCTAGTTGACACACAAAACTACAGTGATTCGAGCAACTCAATTAAAAAACTCAAGAATAGTTTTCATTGGAAAATTCAGTAGA